CGTTCGTATCTCGAACATTTCGTATCTCAAAGCAAGTTTTACAAGTAAAAGCCTAATCCATCCAAGGGCTCTCAGAAACAACAAAATAAGTAGATGAAAAAATGAAAACCAGAGAAAAATCAAGTAACTTTTCTTCAATCCTTAAATCTACACATTGTTAATGTAATAAATGATAATAAAACACATGAAAAATACGTTATACGTACACAAATGTGAAACCTTACCTTAAGTGAAGCGATGTGTCGGAGGAGGACTAACTTTTGCTACAGAACAGCACTTTTCACGCTATAAACATTATTTTTTCAACACCTTGACTTACATTTTTTATAGCACATTATTGGTAATCTATACGTAATGCTTTGCTCGATTTAAAACTGATTTCAGCCCCTTAAAGCACACTTTCTTCAAAGGGAGAAAGGAGCGCCAGGACGATGTCATAAAGGAGTGCAGCGCACGTCAGACAAACAAGTGGAAAAAAGAGCAGAAATGTTTGTTATTGTTCGTACCTCGAATTTTTCTTCGTATCTCGAAACAAAAAATTTCCCCCGAGACCTTTCGTATCTCGAACATTTCGTAACTCGAAGCATTCGTATCTCAGGGTACCACTGTGTGTATGTACATTTTGGGGCCTTAAAAAGTCTAAAATTGAATAAAATAGCTTTTAAATCATTTTTCACATCTCTTAATTTTTCGACACACTTCAGATCGAGTGTGTTTGAGACAGATTTCCCAGCCTGCACTGTGTGAGCCGGGACATTTGGTTGTTTAAGAAAGATGGCGCCATAGCAACCACAAGAACAGTAATTTTTGTAATTTAAAGTGGTTTTAAAGTTATGAAAACAATCGTTTTATGTCCAAAAAAATGTAATTGAAATCGGTAAAAAAATTGTTTTCAATTGAAATTTCAATGAAAAATGCGCCATTGTTAACCATATAACAGTAACATTTCACAATGGATTCGTTGACGAGACGAGTTCTCTTTATAAAGCACAGCATTTTTAAAATGAAAATGAATCCATTGTTTCATGCTAGATTTTATGCCATAAATGCATATGTAGGTTTGAATAAAATAAACTAAATTAATAAAATAAAATAAATTTAAAAAGGTTAGTTTAAAGGAAAAATGTAGAAAATAACGATTCGCAATATTGCGAATTGCACAATCGCATGTTGTTAAAATGAACAATACGCTCAATTTGGTACTGTTGATTTATCTACGATTTTTCAATCTTTATAATATACTGGGAGAGAAAATGTAATCATTTGTCATTTTTTTTCCATCTTTTGAGAATGTTCAAACTGCTGGTATTTTTACATTTTTAGATTGCTTGTATAATATATATTTTTACAGAGATTTATATAAACTTTGTTAGAAGAACACAAGTATGGAGCTTAAATGTGATTGTTAATGATCTTAAAAAGTCATAAATTTGACATTGTGAAACCTACAAAAACCCTGGTGTAACTGAGTTACTCACGCTTACACTTGCTCTTGCCGAAGCCACGCCATGTTACCTGCATAACTTGAAGAAGAAAAGAATTGGGAATCCCTTACGTAGCTGGTCACCTATAGAGACCATGCAGACCATCAATGGTTTTCTGGTAGAGTAAATAACCCTGCAGTAAAAACAAAAGTTTACCCAGGGTTTGATTACAAAAACAACCTAATGACCTCAAAATGACCCATCGCCTTGACCATCTTCACCGTAGTGTTAGAACTTGATAAAAACCAAAAGCTACGAGTCATCTGTTACAACTTTACTCACCACAATCTTACCTCAAGATTGTATTCCGTTGATCTTTCTCATTTCTTTCTTCCCCTCTTCTCTCTCCCTCGTTCTCTCTCCTATCATCTATTTTTCTCAGGGTTTTGGGTCCTGCAGTAACCTTTCGAGTGAGGCCCAATTCTCGAAACATCACCACAGCGCAGCTAGCCCGTGTGGCAGGTATGCACACAAACATACACCGGCACAAAAAAGCTGCTTGACTGCTGCAATCTAGTTGTTATTCTGATCATCTCCTGACACATCAGGAAGAATCCTCTCTTAGTGCCATGACCTTGATAGCAGCATTGGTTGTTTCAAGCTTTAAGGCACCATTTTACACAATCTCTTTCCATCATGATTTACTCACGCTCGTGCACTTACACACGATAAAACAAGAAGTCAAACAGAAAGGCTCTTATCTCTTATTAAAGGGTGGAGTTTGCATGTTCTCCTTGCATTGGTTACCTTCGGGTTCTCCTGTTTTCACAGTCCAGTGTGCCTCAGGCAAAATGAACAGTCAGAATTCAAACTTAAACTGTGTGGAGTAGAGGAATATTTGGTCAATTAAATGCGAGTTAGGCAACCCCATGTGACCTCTCTTAGCCAATAGAAGGTTGCATAAACAAAAATGGCGATAACAGTTGCTCATATGAAAACAAAGCGAGATACAGAGGAGAGGGAGAAATACCCATGACAGAACCCACAACAAAGGAGAAAGTGAGAGACAGACCGTAAGTCAATCACAGTAGGGTATACGACCCTGAAGAAATAAATCCTTGTTTCATTGGGAGACTCTAAGGATCCAACCAATCAGAAGCAGAGGAGGGCGGGACTTTTAGCACCAAAAGTCAAACTCAACTTAAATTCCTTTTTTGTTAGCTTGTTTTGTGCAGAACATGATTGAAATGGTAAAGTTTGCACTTTATTTGATTTCAAGACTGCAATGTGTTTGAAATCAATCATTTTTTACTTTCTATAATTTTTTTCTCCATTTTAGCCACAAAATAAATGCCATTTAAAGCAACACAATAGTTAACAGCTTGAAATGTAACCCAGCTATTAATGCTACTGTAAGCTAAGCTTAATACAAACAAATTTATATTTTATCATAACACTTCACCAATTATTAATGAAATCTGTCAGTCGGGGGAGGGGGTGATCCCAAATCTTGAGAGGAAATCGACCTGAAACTGGCTCTTGTTAAAAGTTTCAATTTAAAAACTCATAATTTATTATGAAACAGAAAGGTTTTGAACACAGAAACCAACTGAAAAAAATATTTGTATTCTTGCTTATTTTGAAAAGCAGCTTTGGTTTTATTCCGTAAATTGGTTGTTAAAGAAAACATTATAAAAAAATGCTTCTAAATAAATAAATTTATTTATTTATTAATTGCATTATAAATAAATAAATTTATTTAAAAATGAATAAATCTCTTTACACCTTCAAAAAGCAACTAAAACTCTACTCTTTCGAGAGCACTGACTAACTTAACTTAATAAAAAAAAAAAACACCCTCTGAAGCACTGATTTGAATTAATTTTCTGTACTAGTTTGAAAGTGTTCTATGTGTATGTCTTCTGATCAATCCACTTTGTACCAAACTGCTTGATGTTTACTCCCAATGTAAGTCGCTTTGGATAAAAGCGTGTGCTAAATACATAAATGTAAATGTAAATATAAATGTAAATGCACAGTTCGATGTTACAGAACGATACATTCGTAAAAAAGTTTTGAATTGTACGGAATTAATTATGTTGGCTATTTAAATGATTGTTATTTTTATTGAGATCCAAGTATTGATTACATTCAAGCAACTTGTTATTTTATTGCAGTAATTTGTTAGATTTATGATCTTTTAAAAAAATATGAAACTGGATCATTTTTGTCGAAAACAGCTTATATAAGCTAATAAATATAACAAAACTAAACTAATAAAGCATAATATTGTCAATGTTCTCAATCTCTCCAACAAACTTATGCTGCTCATTGGTTTCAAATTCAGGATTTCTTTTTTTAAAAAAAAATGTCTTTGTTTTTTGAATTTTGAAATTTCAATTTGAATATTTCCTTTCGTCTCTCGTCAGGGCGGGCTTCACAGCTGTTCGCTCTTATTGGCTGGATGAGATTGTGATTGACTCACATAACTGTTACAAGGAGTTTATATTCTCTGGTGATTGTTTGGGCAACAGAGCTGGAAACACTGATGATTAGGGCTGGGCAATAATTTCGATAACAATAATTATCCGGATGATCATTTTCTAGATAAGATTATATAGACAGCTCCAGAAGAGATTAATATTGTTTATGAGGTGGTGAGGCGCGCAAACTAGATACATTTTAGAGCAGCCACAAGGAGTCAGACCTTGATTGTAGCAAGGTATGTGATTATTGGCACCATCTTCCATGCCACGTTCAACATCGCTTTTGAAGTTTGAGCTGCAGCAGATCGTCTTGACCATATCTACATGCTGTAATCTGATTGGCTCATTAGCAATTTGCCTTAACAAGTAATTGGGCAGGCGTGCCAAATAAAGTAAGTGTAAGCCTGTAATTAGAATGATGTGATGCATTGAGTTTCCTTACAGTTTCCTGGAAGTACGGCTGCTTGTAGCTTTCCTCAAGCTAAGCAGGTTAGAACATCAATAAATGGATATAAACAATAGCCGTGTAAAATAAAGCCTGCATAACTTATGCTCAGAAGTCTGTTTAACTACTGGAGCTATAAAGTATTTATGTAAAAAATATGTTTAACCAATAGACAATGCAACGCAGCATTTCAATGAGGCATTTGGGGGCATTAAATTCACTTGAAAAGAACAGGCTGCATTCATGCTTCAGCTACTCTCTCACTGTTTTAACATTTAACACCCAGAATTCAATGTTTGATCTTTAATTCACAAAAGAATGGACAAAGAATGAAAGGAAAAACAAAAGGAATTTGATATCATACGGTCGGTATTCCCTTGATCCATCATAATTAGTTTCATGGAAAACATATTCATGTGAATTTGTCCCATGTCTGTCTGTGCTTCCTGACAGATAAGGTGCACAATGCACACGTTTCTTTTTCATAAACCTTTTGAAAACTGAATCGGAAATGCCCCTTTGTTTTAAAAAATAGAAATAAAACACACTTGGAATCTGAAACACCATTACAAGTTGCCTGGTTTGAATTACCTCTGTTTAATAAATCCCCCCTCCAGGGGAAATTATTCACATCTTTCCTTATAAGCTTTCCTGTGGCTTAGTTGGTAGAGCTTTGCACTAGCAACACAAAGGTCGTGGGTTCACATCCGAGGAAAAGCAGGAACTGACAAAAAAAAAAAAACGTGTTTATTCATTAAATTGTAAGTCGCTTTGGACAAAAGCGTCTGCCAAATGCATAAATGTAATTTAAATGTTATCTGTGTTCCTGCATCTTTTGCTCACATGAAAATACAGTGGTGCTTTGAGTAACGAGATACGAAAGGTCTCGCAGGAAATATTTTGCTTCGAGATACGAAAAAAATTCCATGATACAAAAAAACACAAACAGTTCTTATCCACTTGTTAAGTCTTACGTCGCGCTGCGCTTCCGGGTCCTGGCGCTCCATTCTTCCATTGCAGAGAGTGCTAAAAGTGGCTGATATGATTTAAATCAGTTTTAAATCAAGCGAAACATTATGTATAGATTACCAATAATGTGTTTTAACAAGGAGTCAAGGTGTCGTAAAAGAAATAACGTTTATAACGTGGAAATTGTGCTTGAAACCATGTTTGTGTTAGTAATTCGTGAAATATCTGGAGAAAGTAAACGTTTAAACGTGGTGCCGTAATGTTTTCTGCATCCGTTCCACCTCCTCCGACACATCGCTTCACTCGCAAGGTAAGGTTTCACATTTGTGCACATATTACATATTTTGCTTGTGTTTTATTCTGTTTTATTATCATTTATTACATTAACAATGTGTAGATTGAAGGATTGAAGAAACGTTACTTGATTTTTCTCTGGTTTTCCATTTTTTTATCTACTTATTCTGTTGTTTCTGAGAGCCGTTGCAGGGATTAGGCGTTTTACATGTAAAACTTGGTACAAAATTTTTTTCTGAAAATGGGAATGATACCACAAAAGCATAATTTCCACTTATAGTTAGTGGTTGGGTGAAGCCATTTATTGTCAATTGTTTTCTTTTCACTGTTGATGGGGGGTCAAATAATTTGACGTTGGCCGGTCAAATGAAAACGTTGGCCGGTGCAGTGGGTAGCACTGTTGCCTTCCAGTTTGAAGGTTGTCGGTTCGAGGCTCGCCGGTGGCCTTCCTGGATGGAGTTTGCATGTTCTCCCTGTGGTTGCGTGTGTTTCCTCCGGGTAATTCGGTTTCCCCCACGATCCCAAAAACATGTGGTTAGGTTAATTGAATAATCTAAATTACCCTTAAGTGTGAGTGTGTGTTTGAATGTTGCCCTGCGATGGAGTGGTGACCTGTTCAGGGTGTAACCTGTCCCGCCTCTCGCCCAATGTGCACGGGAGACCAGCAGACCCCCGTAAACCCAAAATGGAATGAGCGGGTTGGAAAATGAATGAACTGAAAACGCTGTAAAGACTACCAAATCAACAAGTGGTAGTAGTTATGTGCAATTTTAAAAATTTCTTTTCAGCATTAAGTTTGCAGACACAAGGGATCAAACAGGAAATAATACTGTACATGCTATAGAAGCCATTGTTTATTTTCATCCTGGCCACTTGAAGCGGTTGTGGACCCCATAATTACTTGCTACTTACAGAAGAAGGAAATACAAACCCAGCAAGCCATTCAAAGTGTCTGTGACGTCACCCATTGGTTTCTGGTAAAGTCATATGAGTCTCAGAGTGGGTGTCACCAGCCATCGTTTTTGTGAGAGTGCGGCGGTAATCGCAAAATGCGTGAAAGACGTGACTTAGGAATAGAAACCACACACACAACAACAGTCTAAAACCACACATACAAAAACAAACCACTAGCAGTAAAATCTAAAATGAAAAAACACAAGGAGTAGCAAAGTTCAATATTCTGCACAACTTTAAGGCTTAATAAATCTTAAACAAACTATTAACCCCCCTCAGAGTGTTCATGAAGGTCAAATCTAGAGATCTAAATCAACAAACTAGAGGAGAAAGGGGTGGAAATATGAGTTTTTCAGCTCCAAAGTTGTCAGTGAGTGAGAACCTGCTCACTTCTGGAGCAAATCTCAAGTGGCCGGTAGAGGAACTGCAGTTCAGTCACTTCCTATTATGCATTGAGAGGGAATGGAGCAGGTTGCTACTCGGATTACTCCAGATTAGCGAGAACAGCAGCAATCCTAAGAGAAAATACTGGCTTTTATTATGGCACATCATTGTTCTGTTTGAATGAAAATGGATTTATAGCATTTTTGATGCAATAATGATCAAAGTTTCAGAGCCTTGTAGCATTGTACGTCAATGGGCGAGCGATGTCACGAGCGAATTGGAGCCATGCTCCATTGTTATTTAGCTGCTGTGATGTAAACTCCAGCTTTGCACTTGCAGGTGCTCCTGCGTGAGCCTGTGTATTTCCAGTCTCTTTGAGAGTCTCTTGTAGCATGTTGAGAGAGTTAATGGCCAGGCTCATCAGACCCAAATGTCAGACAAAATGTTAAGTCAACACGATCAGCCCCTGTCACACAGTAGATAAATTATGAAAACCCGAGAGCCTGAATACCAATTTATTACTTTATTTAAACAGTGAGGCGCTCTCTACACTCATTATTACTTGTGTATGCACACTGCCAATCACAATAATGGCTTGCTAACTTTTACATTTTTGGCATCCTCCAGATTCAAACATATTTAAAGTGGTTGCGATCAGTGTAAAAGTGATGGGGACTTTGAGTTTGCTTGTAAAGAGACACCAGGATGTTGTTTAAATTATTAATACATCATTGACTCATAACTAAGGGATTTACCTACAAATAAACAAAAGCACCTAAATCTGAAGGTCTTGAAATGTAAGCTTTCATGTTATTCTTTGATGAAAATTTGAAAAAAAAAGCATCACATGCAGAAATAAGTTTTCCGCTTACAGTTTTTTAAACATAATTTAAGCAGCAGTTTTAAAGTTTAAAAGTCAACTTTTCTGACAGCCCTATAATCTTTTAGTGTTATTCCCTCATCAAAAAACATGCCTTAAGTTTTATTCAGAATCTTTCGAAATGGCTGATAACGTCTCAGTGTTCATAGCACCGCCCATGGTTCTAACACCGCCCACTGACCAATCAGATTAACCGCTAGTACAGCTCATCTCTATGCAGAGTGGATCCGCTGTCTGACACAGTGTGAGGGCACTGCAGAGAAAGTGTGTGTTCTGTCGAATGTAATACACATTAAAACACAGTTTTTAAAGCACCACTCTGTTTTTATGTTTTTAATGAACTCTGACTGACGGGTGAGGAGGGTTGGCCACCAGGGGGCGCGGTGAAATCATGACCGTGGGAGGAACGGGGGGAAACAGCACATTTTGCGGAGGCATTTTTTTATGTTACATATTCCATTTAGAAAGTTACTAGCGTTGCAGTGCTAGTACAGAGGGCTCAAATATTGAAACGTAAGCAAAGCAAACACATCATAGATTTCTTCTCATTTAACATAAATAAAAAAAATTCCCCATGTCCGTTGTTCTAAATGTTATACTTTAGACGCTTATCTAAAAAGAGTAGGAAAGACCCAATCCAGCTTTTGTTTCATTTTTTTGACGTTATGACGAATAGTTTGCAAGGTAATTCAAAATTACAATGTGAGAAACTCTTGAATCATCTTTCATTTTCATTTTACTTACCCCAAATCATTGCAAACAATGCCATCTATTGGTGAAAGAAAGGATAGCGCTTGGAAGTACAAGGCCTGTGATATGGCTTGTGGTTTTTTTTTTTTTTTTTTCAAAATTCTTGCACAAAATAAAGCAAAAAGGGCACAAATATTACTTGGAACAGTGTATAAGGTTTATCAGAGTTTTTTTTTTTTTTAATATAATTTTCACAATGTTTTGACCTTGTCTGCTTTTTCACGGTTTTTGTTGTTTTTTGTTGTGTTATTAAAAAAACAGCATTGTTGTGCAATTATATTGTAATGTAATTTTTTAAAATGATATCAAGCATTGCCACATAAACTGTTTTAAAGATAATTTGCTAGAGGAAATTGTAAAGTAGTTAAAACACTTTATATATATATGGCACTGTTTGTTTAGAAAAGGCATCCTTTTATGGTCCCCCTTGTGTATTTGCATGAAGCAAAATGCTTTACCTTATCAAGAAGAGACTCTGCAAAAGAGCATACTTTGACTTCCGAGCATCTAGTTTGATTATCCAACAAGTAAACTGCAGAGGCCTTTTAGCAAGTGGTAATTATAAAGTGTTGCTCTTGTCCCTTAGATCCAGGGAAGTCTCACAAGTCATTTGTGTTGTGTGTGTCTGAATAGTTTGCGACAACTCATTTCTGCAGCCATGGCTTCACAAACATGTAACCATTAATTTTCCCTGACAAAAAAATAATCACTTCCTGCCAAGCTATTTCCAGTAGAGGGGCAGCAGTATAGATGAGGAGTTTCGTATCCTGTAGGGCCTGTGTATATGGCCAAGGGATTTGGTTTTCTGATGCAAAGCTTTGCTCAAGTCTTTCAAGCTGCCAGCAGCACAGCGACTAACTGGAGGGCTTTATGGGGGGTCTGGGGTACATTCATTAGGGTTGAGGAATTTGCTGTTGTACTCTATTCATCTGGAAAGAAAGCTTTGGACAAAAGATTGGATATGGTAATCCCTGCTTGTTCTCAAAACAAAAGATGAACCCCTTCCCTTTATCTGTGCGTGAGTGTGTGTGCGTGTGTGTGGTTGTGTGTCCTTCACAATCATTTATCGGGCCATTGATTCATCCGTAGTGTTGATGAAATGGCACCCTAAACTGAACAGTGTAATCTTACGATGTGTCATCTCTCCTCATCTCTCAGCAGCTCTTTCTTTTCTAACATGCTTTCTTCTTCCTGTCTCCCTGTCACATTTCATTTCTGCCCGTCTCCTACTTCTGCTGCTCTTCACCTTTTACAGTCCTTGGTAATTCATGTGACGTATAGTGTTTATGTTCATGGTCCTTGCCCTCTTTTGAAAGCCTGTCTTCCTTTAATCGTGACCAAAGCTTAAAGGGTTCAAAATCAATGCTCAACTTCCACATGTGTGAGCTCTATTTAGTTGAAAGCGTGTTCCGTTTATTTATGAACCTCTATCAGTATACTGTGTATAGTTTCTATATGTACCTCTGGAACCAGATCCATAATATGATCG